TTGGATACAGAACAAAGCTAGAGCAAAAGGAGAAAGAGAAGACCAGAGAGAGGAAGACACCTATAGAACCAGCACTCAGGAGGCAGGAAAGTCCAGTCAGTCACACAGCAAGGCTGAGGCCAACCTGGGCTACGAGAACTTGTCTGAAACAGAAAACAAACAAGCTTCAATAATCAGGACAGTGTGGCGCAGATATCAGAATGAATGAGGACCAGTGAGGTGACTCAGTGGGTAAAGGCGCTTGCTGCCAAGCCTGATGACCTGAATGGATCCCCAGGTCCCACACGCTAGAGAAAACCTGTTGGGGACACAGAGGTCTTGTACTCACAGAAGAGTATTAAGAGAACCAGGAATGTTAATCACACAGGGGTGTCTCCTCAAGGGATACCAATCAAATACCTGCATCCATCCAGAAAGCTGAGAGTGGAGGTTAATGACCTGGTGACCTGTTTGCTCTCTGCGGGGTCAGACCTCACCTTAATTCCCTAGAATGATTATCCCTAGGCCCTTTCCCATCTTCCCTTCCTAGACCATTACCCATCCCTAGGGTAGAGTCACAAGTACTTTATGGCCTGCTGACCACTATGCTATCAGTTAGAGAGCACACTAGATTCTAGGCCTTTAGCTATAGAATCCACCCTCGTGGTCACATGTGCTACCTAAAGGAATCTCCACGTAGTCACACCTTAAGCTTTACTGTGCACCTGAAATTGGACTGACTGGACTAATTGGTCCCCAGAAACCTTTTCCCAAATGGTACTGCTTTAAATATGCCGACAATGAACTGCCTGGCATGAGACTCCCAGAAGTCTGATTGAGGTTGACAAAGTCAATCTGCACCGGGTTTTCATTCTTATCTCTTCGTGGGGTTCACTTCCCTGAATAACACCTGCAGGGAACCCCACGAAAACCTACTCTGAAAACTTGTCTTCTGACCTACATATGCGCTGCAACAGGCACAGCCCCCAACACACAATAACAACAAAATTTAAATAAGAGAATGGGCATATGGATGAATGAAGATCTACAAACAAGTTTAGTAAGTTTATTTTCCAGAGATATACTATCGTACACACACATGAAGATAACGCTTAGAAAGAAGGAAAACACTTGCAAGCACATATCCTACAGAGCACTTACAGCCGAAGTACCAAAAGAATGCTCATAATTCATTAATAAAAGGGAACTGAGTGAGGTGGCACATGCCTGTAATACCAATACTTGGAAGAGGCAGGAGGATTGGGGGCACAAGGTCATCCTCAACTACAAAGTGATCTTGTGGCCACACTACAATACATGAGACCCTCCTTATCTCAAATATATATATATATATATAATAAAAAGACAATCTAGGATTCAAAGTTCACTCCTCTAAGCTCAATACTGAAGTGGCTGAAGTAGGAAGATTGCTATAGGCTGGGCTACATAGTAAGTTACTGGACAACCCTAAACTATAAAATGAGACCTTGTCCCAAAAAGAAAAAAAGAAAGGGGGGGAAGGAG